AGGGGCACAACAGGAAATATAATTGTAGTATTTAGAAGTGACAGTCCAGGAAAAGCTGCGCAGTGGATGGGCAGGTCCATTCGTGAACGTTGAGGGGTGTTGGGATTAGTCATTTGTCTGTCTTCAGTGGAAGCAGACGTCTCAAGTTCAGTTAAAAGCATTCTTCCGTGTACAGTCAAGTTAAAATTTTTTACTCTTGGAATCGTATTTGAGCGTATTATTCTATATTTAATGTATTAATATTTTATTTTATTGCTTATTTTTATTCGTTGATTTTCTTTTTTGTTTATTTATTTGTACATTTTTATCTATCTCCTTTAACATGCCACCTACATGAAGTAAATTGAGTGGAAAAATGTTGCATTCACAATCAAGAGAAATTTTTAGTAATGTATATAAGTGTATGAAAGAGGCTGGGCCAGCAATTACAGTGAAGAACATAGGAGTGGCAGTAGCAAAGGCAACAGGTGTATCTGAAAGTAGTGTCAGAAGAATAATAAGAGAACAGAAAATATCGAATCTGGGACTTCACTTCCTTTTTGACACCCCATAAAGAAAGACCTAGGAAATCTCCACTAGCCACTTTGGACGACTTTAATGAGTCTGTGGTGCGAAGAACAATTAATGACTTCTACATAGTCGAAAAAAGGAGACCTACCCTGAAAAAAGTTCACGAAAAGTTGAAGAAAACGTTAGACTTTCAGGGATGCATCTCCACGTTAAAGAAAATTATTTTGAAACTGGGGTTCTGCTGGAAGAAAACAAAAAATAATCGACAGATACTGGTGGAACGATGTAATATCAGAGCCACACGTCTTCAGTATTTGCGGCAAATTAAAGAATATAGGGAAGAGGACCGCCCAGTCATCTACATGGATGAAACCTATATTCATTCATCGCACACCACCCCATATGCATGGAGTGATGGATCCATCCAGGGACTATTTTCCCCTCTGTCCAAAGGCCAAAGGGTCATTGTTATCCATGCAGGTGGAGAGCAAGGTTTCATCCCTAATGCCTATGTCCGCTTCAAATCCCACCAAGAAAACAGGAGGCTACCACAGTGACATGAACTGCACCAATTATGAAAATTGGTTAAAGGAGCGACTTATTCGTAACCTTTCCCCGAATTCTGTCTTTGTCATTGATAATGCTCCCTACCATAATGTACAGCTAAACAGTGCCCCTAACTCAAATTCAAGAAAAGCTTTTATGATATACTGGCTAAAATATCACCTTCCACCTATTACCTTCAATAACACTGAGTTTTCATCATTGCGGAATCCAGACATATATAATATGATCCTACCACGCAAACCAAAATACCTTTCCTATAAAATAGATGGAATCATTGTAGAACACAATCACAGTATTTTACAACTTCCTCAGTATCACCCAGAACTCAACGCAATTGAGTTAATATGGGCCACCTCAAAAAATTTGGTTGCTCAGAACAATACCACATTTAAGATGGATGACGTCATTAAATTGGCAGACCAAAAATTGGCTTCCATAACTGCAGAAGAATGGCAACGTGGGTTCCAACATGTAAGGAACATTGATCAACAATTAATGGCACGGGAAGGCCTTTTGGACGCAGGATGGGAGTTCGTCTTCCATGTTGGCGGTGATAGTATGACAGTTCTGATGATAGCTCCGATTCATCTGGTGGTGACGAGAAAGGACAGGCATGTGGAGATGATATCTATGCGGACATTGCCGGTGTTGCCCCTTTAGAATAGACCCGTGTAATATGTAAATAAACTCTTCATGTATATAACAGTGAAAAGTGTATAATAGTGTACAGTGCATAATAGTCTGCCATTCGGCAATTAAAACTTAACATCGTACATGTGAACATCATTGAGACTAAACTGCCAACACTATGCAACACAATGAGGTAAGAAATGATTTCCTTTTGAGAACACCTGTACTGCATTCCCCTCCACACTTGTCAGCATGCTGGAGCTCCCCCCGCCACTACCAGTACTTGTCCTATCCATGTTGGAGGACCGTCACTTCTAAATACTACAACTAGGGGATGGTGGAGTGTGGAATGATACATGATGTTACAAGGGAGTCCATGTTATTATGATACACAACAAAAGAAACAATAAAAAGTCTTTTTGGTGTGTGCAGATCAAAGAATTTTCTAAACATTTGAAAGTTCAAATTTTGTGGCAAGTTCAGGTTATGGACAAGATCACAATGATGTGAACTAGATGGTTCAGGTTTCTTGAAATTCAGAAAAATGACAAAATGCATGAGGTTCACTGAACAAAAACAGGTGAAGAACTGACAGATGAAAGTCAAAATGTAATATGTGTTATAAAATTTAATAAGTATGGACATATCCTGAGCATGAACATGCAATGTGGATGTGCGGCACCTTGCAAAGCATTGGATGATCAAGTTGCAGACTTGTAATATAACTCATAAATAATCTAAATTTGTTGATCACTCAAAAACTGTGGTTGATAGAAAAATTGTTCTTATTTTTTGTGGTCCATGCAAAAAGATACATGCTGATTACCTGAAAACATTTGTATGACAAAAGCTTGTCAACAAGCATTATGAGTATATGGAGCAGAAATATTTTTAAAAGCATTCTTCAAATTGCTAAGTGAAATCCCGGTTTAGATTTGCCAGGTTTAGTACTGAATTGTTGAATTTCTGTCTTTACTCCATATAAATAATGCATGACCCTTAATTATTATATTTGGATTTAATATTTTACCCATTTTTATTATAAGAACTGTTCAGAACCCTTACTGAATTTAGTACATCAGTATATGACTGAATGTGTTACCAGCTTCTGGACTGTGTTTGAATCAGTGTCTGCTTTGGTCAGGTTTAACGGAGCAGGCATCTACAATTCATAATCATTAATTATGGAGTAATGTGTTCAGGAAAATCAACCACATGCACATGTAGCTGTTTCATGAAGATTCTTGGTGCTGAAAATGAAACCCTTTGCATTATTGGTGTTTGTCTTCATCACAGTGAGAAGTGTGTATTCATGGTATCAATGCTTGTCACCCCGGATTTTTTTTTTGTTTATTTAACGATGCTGTATGTAGATCTGACAGATGAACTGGAAATTATTTGGAAAGAAATTGTCATGGCATAATGGCATTTGCCTGGAGAGACTTGGAAAAGCCATAAGCACCTCCCTAATACAAGTCTAGAGTGTTGCTTCTAGACCAACTTGTTTGATATTCATTTATCAAAAGGGCGAAGTTTACTGTCAGTGGAAAAGTTATTGCTGTAAAGGAAGTGAAATAAGATTCGTAGTTCCTGCAGATGCTGTGGTGGAGGGCCATTGTCAGCATTATGCGTTGTGTGTTCAGACTGTTATTCATGTATCTTAAATAAATGTATAAGAATGCCATTCTTCGGTGGTTATGTGAGTGTAAAAACAGTTTCTGAAAGAAAGTGGTAACAGGTAAATTTGTCTCTGTGCTTAACTAATTAAGCACCACAACATGAAGGCACATAGATGAGTGGATCTATCGATCCACATTTTCTTGACCTTGGCACTAGCTGGAAGTGAGTGGTCACCTTCATGCCCAAGATACTTTATCCTGGGGGAAAGAGCCCCGGTACCCATTGGATAAGAGGTTGGATGGACCCCAGAGCCAGCGTGAACAACTTGGAGAAGAGAAAATTCTTTACCTTCCCGGGACTCGAACTCTGACCCCTCTGTTGTCCAGCTTATAGCTAGTCACTATACTGGCTACGCTGCCCCAGCTCTCATGAGGAAGTGGGGTGGGTACTTATATTACATTACTCCCATATAGCATTTTCCTCACTTTAATGTGCAGAAGACTTTTAAATGTGAATTTCACTGTGTGAATTGTGGGGTCTGATCCTTGCAGTTTCTGTTCATATTCATGAAGAAACTACGTGGAAATGTGCCATAATGACAAAGGCCAGTGGACTCAGAAATTATTTTGTTAAAGCACAGAGTTTTTGAAATAAAAACTATTTAATTTTTATAATACTGAACATTATTTTTACTTATTTTACTAATAATAGAACATCATCTTCTAATGGAGACTAAACTCTAATTTCAAAATTTCAGGCCTAGTAAAGTTTCACTGCAAAGCAGTGAATGAGATATTTGCTCTTAGCTGTACACTTGAATCTGAAGTCATTTTACCATCTCTTGATGATAGAGTAATGCATTTTTAGCCTATGTCCCCCTCCCCCCCTTTTTTTAAACAAAAGATAGGAGTCTTGTGAGTTCATCTTGGTGTCTGTGTGACCCTCCTGTTGTTTGTAGGCAATGGGCCAGCTGTGTGTCTGTATCCCCCATAATTTTTTTTCATTTTCTATGCAGTTTGTGTCATATCAAAGGAACGCAGGTGATTGGTTCTTCCCGAACTACTACTTCTATTGCACCTTATTTCATTTTTTGAATAATTTCTCCTACTTTGAACCTTGTTTCTTTAATCAGCATTCCAGGATAGTGTTACGTATCGGTGGGACATAAAATAAGTGTTTTTCTTGAAAGATGGTATGAGTAGCGTGACATTTAAGTGAGTTGGCCCAGGTGATAGCTTTGTCAGGACAACTATCTTGACAGATTTTTGTAATGTCCTTAGTCTCCAGGCAGATCCTAAAATAGTAGCTAAAACTCAACAGTGACTGCTTGCTTCATCCTCCTTTCCAGTTCATTGCTGGCCACCATCCAGCCATTCAGTACTATACCATATGAGACATGGACACCATTCTTAAATGAAGTATAAAAAGTAAATATTGAAGGTCAGCTATTCTTGATAGTAACTTTTCATCATGAGCTATGGGAGTGGGACTAATATTAATGGTACTCATTTTGTGATACAGTTAAAAAGCGCTGTGGATGTAATTGTTTTATGAAAACAATTGCACAGCACCTGTGTAAAATACTCTTTGATAATGATTTGTGGACCATTGTAACTTGATGTTTCAGAATGTAGCTAGTACTCCAGATTTTAAAGAATATTTTGTTTTTATAGCATTGATCTGGCAGCTGATGAGAGCCTACACCCTCTCAATATTAACACAACTAGCGAACACAGGAAGTCCCATTGTAGAGAAGGAGATAGTTACTTGGGTGAATAATAAGCTTGCTGGTGCTCACAAGAAGAGCTCATTGAAGAGTTTCCAAGTAAGTTGCACATTCCTACAGACTACTAAATTCAGTCATCAGGAAGGAGACTCAGCACTTGTAATCAATGAAATACTCTATGTTATCAGGATCCATCTGTAGCAGACGCTAAGGTTGTCATTGACCTCATTGATGCAATTAAACCTGGAACTATCAACTACGAACTAGTGAAGGAAGGTGGACCTGATGAAGTGAGTTGTCTGTTCATATTTTACTGTTCCACACATTTCAGTAATCAGTTTCCCAAACGTCTCTATCTGCTGAACATTTTTTGGTTTTGGAAATTACAGGTGAAACCCCAAACCTTGGCTACAAGTCATGGATATATAATAAACAGAGAACATCAGAATTTTTACATGGGCATAATGTGACAGACAGTAAACTTTGGAATTCTTCAATACTCTTGAAATCTAGTTTTCCATGAAATATATGAAAGAAAGTTAGTTGGTGATTAGAATTAATGACTATCAGTCCTGCACTTTTGCACTCAGGAATTATCACATCAGGGAATTCATATAGAATGCCAATATCTATGCTACATGATACAAATAAAAGCCTTGGTCTGAAACTCTCAGTCACTTTTTGTTAAAATTGTATCATGCATAATATTGTCACATGTTGGGTGTATGTCACGTGATAAATAACTTTACGCCATCTTGGATATAGCGAATTTATTCCACATTCACTCTTACATTCACACAGTTTACAATTTTACAACTACTGCCATCTGCAGTATCACAATTAATTCTGCTGCTGGAGTCACTGCCATTCACTCCGGCGAATTCACTTCTGCTGCACTCGGCGACTTCACGATCCACACTGTGTCATTCCTCATCACACACTCTCTGGTCACATACTACTCAGCCAGCTTTTTATACCGTTTCCTGTTGCCTGTGTCAACAGCAGTATCCCATGTTATGTCTCAGTGGGAAGTGCTTTTTCATCACCGCGGGGGAGGGGAGCAGAGTGTTGACTGGCCTGTTACCGTAGCAGCCGCAGTGCTCTGAAGCTCTTACATCACCGTGGGGGAAGGGGGGTGTTCTGCATACCACAAATACATCACAATATTAACAATTATTGAATTCAGAGCCCTTCAACTTAAACAAATTTTAGGGACAACCAGAGTTCATATTTGAGTTTTTAACAAAAAATAACTTCTTAGGTTGACTTTTGTATTGAAGTCTGTCATTAGAAAAAAATTGTGTGGATCACAATTTTGAGAATCTCTAGGGTAGGAAATGGTTTCTCAGACTTACAGTATGGTGTGTCCACATTTGTTAGTACTGTCTGGAAACATTCTCTCATCTCCCATTGTGTGAGTCATTTAGTAAGTATTTATTGAAATATTGGTTCCAGTAAAGTAAGTAAAAAGTAAAGGTTTCCCTGTAATAGGCCATGGAGGCCTGTAGGGTTGTGAGACATTGAGGGGATTGGCTCCAGTATCGAATATAGTATTTTCATGTGTAGGATGGTACGCATGGTGAAATAACGGGTTCTAGTTCAGATGATTGGATTTATTAACACTTTGGTTACACACACTCTCTTAATTACACTTAAATACAGTGATATTGTGATTTACACTTGCTTCACAATTCACTGTTGCACACACACACACACACACACTCCCCCTCTCTCTCTCTTTTTTTTCCCCTTCCCCCCCCAGTCCCTCCAGACAGTGCAATTAAAACACAGGAACTAGCACTTCAGATCACTCCAGATATCTCGGCACCACAGCACACAAAGTCTTCTGAATCACACTTTACATCCTCACAGGGGGACCTCCTATATTCTTCTGTACTTCACTCGTATGCTTCTTTCATAATGCATAAACTAACTCTGACTGACTTTCTCCTATAAACCCTCAATTGGACAAGCAGAAAATGCAGCTTCCCCTCTGTTGTGTGATGTCACAGCCTAGCGTGGAAGGGTGTTTACCGAGCATTATGTAGCAACAGGCTCAGTGTGGGTGTGTGACATCACTTGTAGAAATGCAGAGGTCACATGACCTCTAGTCACTGTTACACAATCCAAGGGTTCACAGAGGTGTCGCCTAGCCTCAGGCCAATTCAATCCACAACTCTCCCATTGCGCGCGTGCCCCTAGGTGTTTGTGGCTGAACAGTTCCTGCATAGAGTAAATATGCCACAGTATGAATATGGCTTCAGTAGTGTATTGTTTATGATGTCATTACTTACACAATGACCCCAATACACAATTTGATCAATACCCATTCAGTACTTTCAGTGACGAAATAGACATACAGAAAAAATAAACATCTTCACTTTTTGTATGTTATGAAGAACTCAGAATTGCATCTTGAGTATTATTAGCATTGAATTTCCTTCTGCGGTATGTTTACTGTTCCATTGTGTGTTTCCTGTTCATTGGCATGTACTAGACTTGTGTCCAGGAGGTATGCAATTTGAATCTCCACCAGACACCAGCTATCCCGAGAGGTTCTTTATGGCTTTTTTGATTCTGTCCAAGCAAATACCAGGGTAATACCATGGTTAGCCAATCAAAATCAGTCCTTTCCAATTTGTCGTTCATTAGTCATGCTACCAGTCAGTGCTGTGTAGTGTAGATATTGGCAGTGCCACAGAAGAGTACATCTGCAGTTGATATTTTGGGACACAGGAAACAAAATGTGTTGTAAAAGTGGTAAAGAGGTAAAGCTGTCCCTGTATCAGGTCTTGGATTCCCATAGGTTTGTGAGACATGGAGGCTCCCACATTTTTATAGACATTCGGCTTGCAGATGGCCGTGAAATCAGCCTTATATGCCAGCTGCCCTTTTCCCACAGGAAGATTCCTGGTACTCATTTCTGTAAGAGACTGACTTGACATCAGGGTCATAATGCAGCTGGAATGATTAGGCCAGTTGAAATATCCAAGGACCTCATCAGGAAATGAGCCCACAACCTCCTGGCCTGTAGTATAGTGCCTCAGCCAATTCTGCCCATGTGCCCTCATAGTAAAAGTGAGATTAAATAGCACTTATTAATCACATAAATATTTTGCTATAGCTTTGATCTGACTTACAGTATTACATGTTTCAGGATAACCTAGCAAATGCAAAATATGCTATTTCAATGGCTAGGAAAACTGGAGCTCGAGTGTATGCACTTCCTGAAGATATCACTGAAGTGAAACCAAAAATGGTCATGACTGTATTTGCATGCCTAATGGCCATGGATTACATTCCAAACATGGATGTGAAGCAGACATAAAGCTAGAATCATTAGTTTCTATTCAGAGTTACTTTCAAATAAATTTTTATTTTTATTATAATTATCAATTATATATATATATTATTGTGGACTTTATACACTTGGTTTGCTTATGTGATTAGAAACTAAACAAGATTACTACTGCAGCATTCCATATATGTTGATGAATAATTGTAAAATTTAAAAATGACATATAATTTTGATTGGGCAATAAAGATAAGCGCACCTACAGATACAAAGGCCCTGAGTTGGTATTGTGTATGTGTTCTTACCTGTCTCTTAATATATTTAAATACAAGTGAATGTATAATTTTTATACAGTTTAAACAAAACGTTTGATTGCTTGGAAGAAATACAGAGAAGTTGAAGGTACACTAACCTGAATGGTGCCATGGAGACCTGGAAATGTATTGTAAAATATTTAGTTCTTATATCTTAACAAAGTTATATAGTATTAATCTTATGATGTTATTAATAATTGCCTGTCATAGTAATACAGATAAGAGAATCATTCTGGATTAACAAGATCTAATAATATAGACACCCAAAACGTTTAACATTGTTTGTTTTGTGGATCTATACAGGTCCAGGTCAGAACTGTTTTGTTACATTGTGATGGGTTTATTCCAGTTTAGCATTTTATTTTGTGGCAAGAGGTGCATGTATTAAAAATCCAATTTACAAATTAAGCAACCAGTTGTCTTTTGCACTGATGTGCCACATGCTTTTTAGACTAAAGTTTTCGAAGTATAAACATAGCAACAGTAAAATTAATATAATGTAACATGCAGAATAATGACTTCCTTCTTTAAATTGCAGAATTATTAATTATCTGTTGTTAATGTGCTGATCTTCCATTTTGCAGACTGGTGTTAACATATGTAAGTAAAGTTTTCCATTCATTATATAAGCACATTTGTGTTTATATGAACATCCAGTTTGTAAATATATTAAGACTGAACTTTGTTTTATATTTTTTATGAAAATTAATAAACATAAAATAGATTTATTTTCATATAACATTGTTATAATAATAAAAATGACCAATTTTATTAAAAATTATAATTACAATATAGTTTGTACCAACAAAAATGAGAAATAATATACAATTGAAACAAATGTAGCCATGCACTTATACTTTTGAAATACACTGAAGCCATTCCAGAAGTTTCTATGGCTTATTTCATGTTCTCAGAATAAGAATCATTCCATATGTTTCATGCAGCAACGTTTTTGAACATTCGGGATATAATTTGGTTATTGGTACTAATGGAAGTGTTCAGTTTGTGAAATGTGAGAAAAGAATAAAAGAGATCTGTATGTAGTGAATTGATTGCAGTTTATACTTTATTTTGTGTATATGCCATTGTGTGGAATAGTTTTGTACCATTTGGAATATACTTCTGCACATCTGTTTGAACACTGTTCATACAGCCTTCCAGTAGTGTAGTATAATTTAAGAATTGTCTTTTGTCTAGTATGTTTCAAAATAGCATATAATATGATGTGTGGTTGATGTGTGTGTGTGTATGTACTTTTCCAAGCTTTCAAATACTTTGATGCATTCTTGATTAGATGAAATGAAAATGGAGCTAAATCTGTCTGTAATGGGGTTTGTTACCATTTGTCAGCATTGTTTTGAAACTTGTAAATATAGAGATCATATGGACTCACTTTGCAGTTTATTATCCATGTTAATTTTGATTATTTAAATACCTGCAAGGGATTTATTGTAATATAAGTTTGGATACATTCCTGTCTTAATATGATTCAGAATGGGTGTATAGAAGGAAATAATAATTAAAGATTTCTTTTATGTTGTTACAGTTGTTTGAATACCTACAAAATACACATCTTGTAACTTTCTTTGTGCCAAAGGTGCGTGGTGAAATATGTCTTAAGTGGTTTTGTTTTCTGCACCATTTAAAATGTAATTAATTTCTTAAATTGCATTTTATCTTTAATTGGCATTTGATAGGAGGTTCACGGATGTGTTCCGGTCTGCTGTTGTGAGACACAAAAGAAAGGAAGAATGAGAAAGATAAAAAAATAATTCACAAATGTATATAATTTTCTTGTGTTCTTAAAATTGGACAAATAATACAAAACGTATAATGTATGACATTGTGAGAATATTAGCTTTGATTTACAAATATTTCAGCATTTAGAAGAACATTTCAAAACACAAGCCAACCTTCTTATTAGTTCAGAGATACTTATCTGATTTTCTTCTTTAGACCTACAAGAATTTTCTCCAACATACTTTCAAACGGTCAGCAGTAATGATGACTATTTGACCAGAGAGTGGACAAATGCAAGACAACTATTACCAAAATTGATCCTGAATTATATGACATGGCTATTATTGAATGTGTTTTCTACTTTTGGACAGCTTTTCTCTTTGGCTTCCCTCGCTGACTGAATATTTTGTTTTTGCCTATGATTGTAAACTTCCGTTCCCAACAAAAGATAACTTCAGTTGTAGTCACCGCATAAGTGTGCTTTTCCATCCTAGATATTCACTTTACCATCTTACACGTAATTTGGTAGTTTGTATCCAGTTCCTAGAGAGTCCTGCTTGAATCCAGATATTTGACTGTCTTGTCAGTTTTGTATAAATTTACCAGCTAGTCAGTCAGTATATGTTTCAGGTCATATTCTGCATCACTGTCTTGGTCATGTTACAAGCAAAAGCATGTAAGTTTGTGCACAGCTTGAAATTGTATTACTTGTTATACAGGAATGTTTTATAACAAAACCTTAAAAGTATTCAATTAAATTATTTAATTCCTACACATGTGGTTCTGCAGTTGTATTTATGCCCACAGCAGGTGTCTCACATAAGAGCTATGCTCTCTTCTAGTATATTTTATTATACATTTTCATATTTTCTTCCATGGAGTTGTAATCTTCCTTTCACGTTGATGTTTTCAGTGTCATTTTCTAACATTCATATGATGGAACGTAACATTGTAAAAATGCTGATTATGAGATAATATGCAAAAAAAGGTTGAAATATGTAACTAGAAGCCTGTCCCCTAACTTCTGGTAAGGCAGTACAGCTTAAATAGTAATCCAGACATGCCAATATTTCTTCTACTTTGAAGTGATTATGATGGGCATATCAGATTAATTTATCCTTCTTCTTCTTCTTAAGATTATCTAAGCAGAAGATTTAGAGGTATTCTTGCTTGCAACCAACTGTTAATTAGGAAGTTTTCATTATGAGCAGTACTCCTGCCCACCGTGTGCTGCATATCTGCCAGCATGGATCAGTCATATGCCACTCAAGTCTCACATAGATCACTCCTGCTTTGCTGAATGTGCATACATATGAGAATAATTGCATTTCCTTATCTAGAACTTGCATAGCAGGTGGTACAAATGAAGCAATTTAAATTGTACCAAATCTTAGTGCACTAGATTATGGGTTGTTCTAAATGCCACAATTAGATTAATTAACTTTTTGATATTATGCATGTAACCATTTGGTGTGAGTCAGCCATTGTGCATAACTGTAGTGGCACATAAACTGTACATGAATCCATAACTGTTTATTTTTTTCTATCAAATGACATATTTATGTTACTCATGAAAATAACCTTCTTTGTAAGACATAGGGCAGAGATCTGTAAGTTGTGTAGTTCCCATGAAAATGACAGCTCTCATCTCATTCTGTTAATCACATAGCCACAAACTGAAAACATGAAACAGATGTCACCAATACAATGTCAGTTTGCCTAGATCTAATGCATATAGTATTTATTTTTCTTTGTTATTCAACATTGTAAACTTTCAAAGATATTAATCCTTACTGCCTTCATATCTTGCTTTTTGAGGAGCTGCTCGTTTCACCCAGACATTGTTTCCGGCTTCATATTAAAAACAAGTGCTTCTGTTTTCTTATATAATGAGGGTTTTTAAGAATTTTGCAGTCAGTGCCAGTCAAAACATATTAGATGTTTTATGGGGGAGCAGCACCTTACATGTGTACCTGGATAGTTGTATTCTGTGAACTGACCCCACCTAGGCCATTGGAAGTCCAAGGGGAAGGAGAGAAGGGGAAGATGTAGCATGGCACAGTGAACATGTAATGTACATTTCTTGAGGGTTAAAATGCTGAGGGGGAAGCTGCTTACAGATTCAGAAACATGACTGTACTGCTGGACAGATGTAGGACAGAGAAGATGGTAAACTGTTAGACAGTGTCGGCCAGTTATGAATCATCCATCATGATAAACATGCTGGAAAACAACCCTTGCATTATACAGTGATTTTCCATGTGTACAGCATTATGAAGTTGACAGTTCCAGTGGTTTTTGTTACTGTAATGTGGGCATTGTAAGCCATGTTCATCCTACTGTGGTTTCACTCTACTCTTTCTTAAGTCATAAGGCAGTGAGCCAGGTTTATGCCATTAAGAACAGCTGAACAGTTTCAATAGAAATTTTTGATTGTTAGTGGTATAGTTTGACCAAGACAGTCCTCAAATAGTAGTTATAAGACTTGCAGAGCATTCCTACAATAGGTAGTTGCAAAGAAGGGATGCAATAATGCCCATTTCATTTTAGGAAAAGCTCATTACATCAGCATTTCTACATGAAATGAAAGCTATTTGGATTACTGTATAGGCATCAAATTAACAGGTATAATCCATTATTCATACTGAGTGTAACAGTATTTGTTCTCACTCATTCAAATATGAAGCAGCCTGCAGTACAAGTGGAAAAGTTCATTATCTTAGAGTTTGGTAAATCTTTATTACTACCAGTATACTGAAATGGGGACACACACAGTAGTGTAGTTGGTTGAGGCACTATGCTACAAGCTGGAAGGTCGCAGGGTCAAATCCCAATGAGGTGGATTTTTTCAGTTTACCTAATCCTTCCAGCCGCACTATGGCCCTGGGGTTGACTCAGCCTTTTAACAGAAATGAGTACCAGGAATATTCTTGGGGGTAAAGGGCGGCTGGCGCATAAGGCTGACAATCTTACCGCCATCTATGAGCCGATTGTCTAGAAAATGTGGGAACCTCAACATCTCAAAACCCTATGGGCCTCCACGGCCTGTTACAGGGATACCTTTACTTTTTTATACTGAAATGTAAAACTGTTGGAAGTGAAACGTGTCTGTCATGAAAGGATATTTACAGAAAATAAATTGTGGTATAAATAATATATTGTCAATTATAGCAAATTGAGAGCACATCCTTGAACTGCTCACTTCTCTCATAGTTACATATATTTCTTGGAGTTCGTAGTTGATAAATAAAATTTGAACTCAGAAAACCAAGATATTTGTGATATTTTGACTTCCTGATAAGATTGATGTCCACAATTTGGTTAATATGTTGAAAGTCATATTCATTTTTCTTGAACATATAGTGAAAATGTACAAGAGAAAAGGCGTACCTAAATATTTCATCATTACCTTCCTTTCTAGTATTAGTTTTGTTGATATCTGTTACAGATGTTGCAAAACAAAATCATCTATCATTCAGAGGTCTTACTGGACTGTACACATTTTACCATGTCAACATGCCCTCTCCAGTTCTTCTATAAACATTGTACTGTTATTTGTGGAATTTGTAGTTCTCTCATCATTTCATTTCTTCATTTGATTTATAGTCCAAAAGGATATGTCCTATAGCTTTCTTCATGAAATTAATTTTATTGGTATGAGTCATGTGTCATCTCGTCTATACTGAAGTTCTGGACAGCAGCATAATAGAGGAAATTTGAATGTGGTAGCCCAAGACATGTATGGTATTTTTCTTTCTGACTCATATTAAAAAAATTAATCCTGTCAGAGCTCATCCAGTCGACATGTTCTTGCAATTTCTTCCATATTCTATTCTAATGCTGTAATTCTCTCGTAATTCCTTTGTTTCATTTGTGATCCAAAAGTGTATACCCCATAAAATGCATTTCTCTTGATAGGTTTTCTCATTGCTCTTGGTTGTCCATGATTCAGTGCCATAAGATATTGTTGGTCTCATAATTATTTGTAACATAACTGTAGGGAATGAGCTACTGTGCTGAATAGTAGAGCTCAAGATAAAAAAGGAGGATAACTCTATTTTCAAGCAGAGTTTAATAATGTAAACCTGGGAACAGTGGAATACATAGCTAGAATGGAGGACACCTGTAAAGCTTGCATATTGCAGTTAACTGTGGTACAAAAAGTAACGTATATTGCTACTTTAATATAAAGTATATACTTACTGATTAAAGATATTTATAAATAAACCTATGAACAGAAATTAAGATAAGATTTGATTGATAAATGTGTGGACACAAAGGAGCTACAGATTTAGTTTGATTACAGAAGCTTGCAGCACATTCTTTGTTAGGAAATAAATGGTAACACCCATACATGAAACCAGAAACTTAAAGAACAAGTCATATGATCTCCATTCATTTCATCTAATTCATGTGTTTAAAAATTCTGATACTAGATTTTATAAAAATCTACATACAATTTTTTGTTTGCTTATAGAATAGTTTATTTGCTTAAAACAAATATTCAACTGTATTTTTGGGGGCAGAAATGTCACAGAAGTTGAACATGTTCCAGTTATATTGCAAGCAATGTTCAAAGGAGCACAGCTGATAGAATTATATGATACTCTACAAGATGGAAAATGCTATATTGTATTCAGTTATGTATGGGCTGTGAAATTTTTAAGGATTTGTTGTCTTTATTATACTTTTGAAGTGTGTTACATTTTAGTAGTGAATGATTTTGTAATGGCAAAAGTATAAAATTATTTTCCAGAATATACTGGAAACAGTAGGTTCTGTTTGTGCAAGGGGGTGTAGTTATAATCTGTAGTCAGGTGCAGTTTCATGTATGATATGCATACAGTGGCCATCTTGTAGTGCACTGAATTTCACCTGTTACTTCAAGACATGTTTCGGCAACATAGTGCCATCATCAGGTGCCCTAATTACGCTAATCTATTGCATTGCTTGCCTTTATATGTCTTTATAAAAGTATTTAAAAAGTGCATATTTGTCAACTATAATAAATTTACACACACTAAAACTTGTTAAGATTATTCATCTTATGTGTCTTAATTAAAACTTGCGTGTAGTTCTTCCACTATGGGGGTCGTTTTTCTTATATTCTGTGTAAACCGTGTCTTGTGATGTGTGTTCCCTTCTTAGCTGCGAGTGTTGTAAGGTTATAAAGGCAAGCAATGCAATAGATTAGCGTAATTAGGGCACCTGATGATGGCACTATGTTGCCGAAACATGTCGTGAAGTAACAGGTGAAATTGAGTGCACTACAAGACGGCCACTGTATACATATCATGGATGAAAATCAGTGCAACAGGATGCTAAAATACACCATTATGAACAGTTTCATGTGTTTAGATAACAATATAAGCTTCAGCATTTTAAGAATTATATTAAGAATAAAAGAGTAGTGACATTCAAATGGTATGAAAGTGCTATAAGTGTCCCTAATTTCTTCATAACTACAGTACTGACATGACAAAATTTAGCTTTTATGTTACTACCAGGGCCCGGATTTTGATGACCTGAAAATATTTTAAAAATGACCTAAAATATGACACAAAAATGTAATATGCAGGGCCCAGATTTTGATGACTTGAAAATATTAAAAAAATGACCAAAATAATCCAGAAAAATGACCTAAAGGAGAAAAGAAAGAACACTGCTTCCATGTTATTCACATTTCAGAAAACATGAAGAAAAATTCCCTAAAATGGCCAAAAATGACAAGAAATACCCTTAAAAGTCCAAAAAATTACCCCAAAAATTAAAAAAAAAAAGATCTTAAACCTAAAATGTTAAAAAATGACAAAAAATTACCCATAAAATGTACATTTCTGTAACCAGCAGCTCATATCTGAGATTTATATATTTAAGAGCATCGCATAGGTTACAAGGAAAAAAAAATGACGTGTGATCAAAATCTGGGCCCTGGTTACTACTTATATATAAAATCTACATTTAGAACCCACCATATAAACCCCCTGTTTTTCCATTGAGAAAGTCTTCTTTTTCTTTTGACAAATTTGAATATGCCATTTATTTATTTGTAAGCAGAAAGAAGTAAAACCATACTATCAAGAAATAATAAATTCAAAATTTAATACCTTAATTATAAATAAGTATTTTCACAAATATCATTACAATTGGCAATTAATACTACTAATAATCATCTTCATGTTTATTCTTAAGGACCTGAAAATAAGGCAATCCCTCTTTTCTAAGAAGATTTTGAAAATGAACCTTGTCTTATATTCAGGCTAATACAGTATTTGATCATTGTGTGTATAGTACTTGCATTTTAAATGGGAACTCACTATGCTGTGTGATATGTGGTGAAGGAGGAGAAATACTTCAAGTGGGATTTATAATATTCTGTAATATTAATGTATTATCAAATCATCTTCATTAGTGAAATGTACTACTAGGTATAATTGTCATGGTAATTAAAGAGGTTTCTTTTAGTCTTTGTCATCCTGTAATTGGTTGAGATTCTGACTGTTCTTGTCCTTGTCTTGTTTTATGTGTTAGTGGGAAAGAACAGAAACGAACTGAACAAACTTTATACGAAGATGAATGTTTAATGTAAGAAAATGACTAAGAATATGGATAGAAGCCTTTTATTGTAGTCAGAAAACATTTCAAATGTGTGCATGGTGAAACATATCCATTGTTTGAATGCAAACATTTCTTTTATCACTACATTGGGAACGTGAAGGTATATTCTAAATTTTAGACCATTATATTTATGTTAAACTAAAAATGTTTTAACTCACTGATGACTGTAATAGTATTTTATAAAATGATTTTATGGTGATGTAATTTATTGTTATGGAACTACATTTTGTGCTGTTTTAAGGACTTTTTGGTACAGGGTGGAATTTCTGAATTTATTGTGAATTGATTAATTGTTAAATGAAAGAAATATGCAAATATTCATAATTGGACATAAGAAGCAAGCAAAGTTATGTTGAGTTCACATTTCTGTATAATTTTGATGCATATATATATATATACACACACATAATAACATTATGGTGTTGATTTCTGCTTTCTGGAATTATATATATATAGAAAGCAACACCATAAAGGTATTATATATATAATAATAACTTTTAACTGAGTTGCATTGGTATATCTAGCAGGAACAGAGCTTACAGTGTAGAAAGAAAAACCATTTGTCATTGGTTGATGTTTGTCAAACTGTCCAGTGTGCTGAAATCATGAAATGTTATAGGAACACCATCACAGAATTGGAAATTGGCTCTTTTGTGAGGACAGTTAATAGGATTTGTTTTTTCTGTGACAGTATTTACCGTTGTATTCAACATAACATTATACATACAAGCTTCTGCTGGAAAACAAACTTTTCATAGAGAATATGGTACAACTGGTATTATGTATTTTACTTTGCATGGAGTCTTGACTTGAACTTAATGATTCTGTGCAACAAAGCAAATGATTTGAAAATTCTCTGATGCACTAGTTCATGAATTTTAATGAAACTTTAAAAACAAATGTTTGATGAAAATTTAGCATTTGATACAAATTTCTTACAAAGACTCTTTTCGTTGTGTGCTATTTAAGATTTTTGATATTGTGTATAAGTGTCTGTTTATATGAGATACCATAGTAGCACAACAAACTGACCAAAGAATTTTTAGTAGTTTTATTATGTGTGAAGATCTGTGTTCATTAGATGGTGAAGGAAACATGGCATTGAATTTCATAGTGTATTAGTAGTGTAACAAATACTGATAATGTGCCTTAGTTGAAATAAGTTTT